CACTTTTACAAGAACCCAAACTTTACCCAACACAGAAAAGGTAAGAACATCAGACGACAAGTAAACAGTAAGACTGTTGTTGTACTGAAAAATACAGTCAAATCTCAGTTTAGTTATCTACCAAAGTATGCTAAGGAAAGGTTCACTGTTGCTTGCTACATTTAATGTATGATAACAATTATTTTTGGGTAGGTTTTCAGAGTTTTTTCTCAGCTTTAAGTGGGTTCAGTGGATCTGGCACTGTCCTTGGTGCTGATATTGAATTTTCAAACGTGTTCGTAGAAATCCTGCTGGTGTTTGTGTATATTATTTCATACAGTTACTTATGAAAAAACTACAATAAGAGGCGAAAATACATTCACCATTTGGAAGGTTTTCAGAAGGGTAATCTAAGTCCAAAAGTGTTAAATGGTTGCGGGGGAAAGCCCCTTTGCGTTTTAGGAGTGCAGCACTGTAGTAACAATTACCTTTGTAATTTGTGGATTTACAAGTAGGATTAATAATTTTTCTTCTTTTAAAATATGTATATCACCCCAAATTAACAGAGATTTGCTCAGATATTTGCATCCTAAAATCCAATTAAAGTAAACAAACAGCAAACAAACAAAAAAACAAATAATTTGTAATGTTTTCTAAATTGTAGTATTATGTTAATCCAATTTAAGACATTTGTATTGATATTTTTCTATGAAAAACTACTTTAAGGCAGATATAATTTATTTCCATTCTATTTATGAATATATGGGCACACCGACATACGCCTACATAAAGATACATATATTGTGCATATTTAGAGAGAAAGAGAATGGTAGGAATTGTAAATAATATATTAGATTTTCGTCAGAATATTAAGAACCCCAATACAAAATCGTTCTATGTTTATTCGAGATATTGTAAAGTAGTTTTAAGTCGCTATGTGAAAATGAATTGTGTTACCTAGTGAATGTCGTTCTCAAAAATGTCCACATGGGGACATTATAGACCATCACATTTTAGCTGCCCTAACGGTGCTTATGGGCTCCTCCCAGTTTCAGGGGATAATGATATTTCTCGGATGGACGAAACAAAGGGACTGCGAAAGGGAACGACGATGCCTTGACATGGGTTATTAGACAACGTCTATTTGCCCAAAGGATCAATCATTTTCTGGCGCTTGAGATTTAGCGTATGGCAGCATGCATTTTTCGAGCAAATCGAGCTCAGCGTGGATATGTCTCGCTGCTGTGGTGTTGGGTTGTTCGCTGGAAGCAGTTTTTGGACAGCTCTCTTACTCAGTGTCAGAGGAGGTGAATCTGGGGACCGTTGTCGGAAATATAGCGAAAGATTTGAACGTCAATGTCCAAGACCTTGAATCCCGGATGTTTCAGGTCGTTGCTGGATCGAAGAG